CAGTGGTTCTATCCGAAGTGGATGTGCGCAGGCTAGGCGAAAACTGGTCTTTGATGCAGCCTGCTTGATATGGGTTAGATAAAAGAGGGGACTTCCTGAGCATGCTAGAGATGAGAGAGGGTTGATTGCCCCTGTCCCAGCTCCATTTCAGACACAGAGAAACCTGAGCTGGGGCTGGATTGCAGGCAGAAGTCATGGTCGCTAACGCCTGCGGTGGGAGGGCTGGCTAGCGACGAGGCTACCGTTTCCTCCTAAATATAAATGCAGCTCTTGCACAAGAAGGGCTGGGGAGACAGCCTTCCTGGCCTCCTCTTCCGCCTTCCATGCATCCCACACACCATCCACTTCCCCATTGTAAAAGACCCTACCCCCGCCGCCAAGACAGGAGTTGTGGCACACACCTATAGTCCCAGCACTTGTGAAATGGAGCTAGGAGGATCTTGAGTTGAATTTAAGGACAGCCTGGACTACATAGTGAGGCCCTGTCTCAATCCCCCTCCTCAAAAAGAGACAGACAGACAGAGCGAGAGAGACAGAGACAGAGAGAGACAGAGATTGTTTCCACCCTGGGGTGGTGGCCCGGCCTCTGGTCCCCATGGGCTCTCAGCTCGCCCCACATCGGGGCATCGGGGTCCAGGCCCAGGCCACTGGTGTCCGCAAACACAGCCTGGTCACTTACTGCCACCCAGGGCGGCCACTCCAAGCTGGCCCTTGCTCAGGACGGGTAATCAGCGGCTGCTTGTGTGAGGTGTTGGTCTGCGGGCTTCCCGCCAGGGCCAGGCGGGCACCGGCGGCGGTGGGTGCTGATTGTGAGCAGACAGGAAGGCCCTGACGCGGATGGGAGGCGGATTGTGGTCAAAGCGTCTTCCGGACCCTTCCGCCCTGCAGGGCACATGGGATCCGGGGGGCCAGCCGCTGACCTGCGGGGCCTGCAGAAGTCTGGATGCGTTGGCCTTGGCCCCGTACCCTGGTTTGTCATTCATTCGTTCCTTGCTACAGCTGGTGCCGAACAATGGTTAGAAGCCAAGGCCCCCCGAAGCTTCAAAGCTCAGCTCAGACATTGCCTAGCTGTGTGACCCTAGACCAGTCCTGACCTCTCTGAGCTCCTCATCTTCCCCTGGGCAGCAGCAGCTTTCTCTCAGCTTCCTGGGGGGGGGGAGGGGGAGGGAGGGGCAGCACAAAGCAAGTGCTGGGTACCATGCCCGCCCCACCCTGGGCTCCAGGCTCAGGAAGCAATAGAAACCAGGGGCCCGTGGCTCACGCCTGTCATCCCAGCTACTCAGGAGACTGAGCTCTGAGGATCGTGGTTCAAAGCCAGCCCGGGCAGGAAAGTCCGTGAGACTCTTATCTCCAATAAACCACCAGAAAACCTGAAGTGGCGCTGTGGCTCAAGTGGTAGAGCTGAGGGACAGCGCCCAGGCCCAGAGTTCAAGCCCCAAGACAGACAAAAAGAAGAAAGAAAATGAAAAGAACCCAGCCTTGACAGGAGTGACAAGCTCCCAGCCCTGGCACCTGCCCCTCCCCCCCAGCCCCCCAGGGTCCTCCCCCCCCCCCCCCCCCCGCGGCTCCTACACACACATCAACTCCCCAGTGTCGGCTCCCAGGCTGGGGGAGGGAAGATCAGGAACAGCTGAGCTGTGACCTCTGACCCCACGGGGGAGGGGTGACATAAGCTGGTCTCTCTTAGTCCCTCGCTCAACCTTTCACCCCACCCAAGGGTCCCTGGCTGCGGTCACTCCTCTGACTTCCCCAGCATTTCCAGACCCTTCCTTCCTGCACGAATCACTCTGATGACTCTCAGATCGCTGATCCATCCGACGGAGCCTCTAAGCGTGGCCTCTCGAAGAACCCAGTGGTTTACGCACGGGCGTGGCCTCTCGAAGAACCCAGTGGTTTACGCACGGAAATGTCCCTTTGCCCTGGGGCTGAGAGCCACGCGTGGCAACCACGGCTCCGTTCACTGAGTGCTGGGAGCCCACGCCACGGTCTGAGCCACGCTGTGCGCCCTTCACAGACCAGGAAACCCAAGCCCAGAGAGGTGCCGCCACTTATCCAAGGTCACACAGCTGGAGGGATGAGCAGGCCTGCCTGCTGCCCTGCACTGCCCGGCACTTATGCCCACGGGGTTCCCACTCAGAGCCTGCGGGGGCTCCCTCCAGTGTCCCGCCTTCTCCCCCACACCTTCTGCTGCCTCCAGTCCGCACTCCTGTGCACCCCGAAGTCCTCCGCCTCAGCCCCTGCACTGAGTCTGGCTCCCCAGGACCCAGGGGACCCCAGGCGTCCCCCCGGGCCCCAGGGGGCGGTGCACATGGCAGCTGCCGCCGGCGTCACCACCCCAGCAGACGCAGACTTAGGAGCTGCGCTATTTTCCACTCTGCAGCTGCTGCTTCAAGCCCTGGGCGGCCCCGGGGACGGGGAGCAGCTGCCAAGGACCTCTGCTCTCCCGGAGCCAGCGCCAAATCCTCCTGCTATTTCTAAGCAGCCAGAGGAAACCTGAAGCAGAGCCCTGCTGTCCCCTCCTGCTGTCCCCACCACCACCACCCACCACCCACCCACCCATCCACCCACCCACACAGACAGCCAGCCAGCCACCTACCTACCACCCACCCATCCATCCACCTGCCCACCACCCACCTCCACACCACCCCCCATCCACCCACCCCTCCATCCATCCATCTACCCATCCATCTACCCACCCCCACACACACCCATGCATCCACCTACCTACCACCCACCCACCCACTCATCCATCCACCCATCCATCTACCCTTCCATCCACCCATCCCTCCACATACCCACCCATCCATCCACCCACCCATCCATCCACCCATCCATCCACACACTCATCCATCCACCTATGTACCACCCCTCCATCCATCCACCCATCCATCCACCTACCCACCACTCACCACCCACCCATTCATCCACCCACCCACCCACCCACCCACCCATCCATCCATCCATCCATCAACCTATCCATCCACCCATCCATCCAACCACCCACAGGCCCACCCATCCACCTACCGACCCATTCATCCATCCATCCATCTATCCAACTATCCATCCATCCAATCATCTACCCAGCCAGCCAGCCATCCACCCATCCATCTACCTACCCATCACCCACTCATCACCCACCCATCCATCCATCAACCTAGCTACCCATCTATCCATTCACCACCCACATACCCACTCATGCATCCACCCACATACCCACTCATCCATCCATCCTTCTATCCATCCACCCACCTATTCACCCCTCCATCCATCCCTCTAACCAACCACCTTCCACCATCCACCTGTCTCCTTATTCCTCAAAGCAGTAGAGCCCCATCGGAGAATACGGAAGCCAATGCCAGCTGCCCCTTTCTAGCCTCAGTTTCCTTTTCTGGGACAGAAATGACAGACTCACTCCTAGGGTTGGCAATAGGTTCATGTTGTCAAGTGCTGGGAGCAAGGCCTGGCACTAAGTCCAGGGGACACGGAAGGGGCAAACCAGGGCTGATGGGAAAGGAATGGGAGGGGGGTGTAGATGACAAGGCATCCAGGGCAGAAGCTGAGGGAAAGTTACCCTGGCACTGGGAGAAAGGAGGGTGGAAGGGTATCATAGGCAGAAGGAACAGCAGCTAGCAAAGCTCAGAGATGATACCAATGTTGGTTCTGACCCCGGAGCTCAGGGGACCCAGGCCAGGGCTAAGGCGGCACATGCCACAGCCTCCTGAGGACAGGCGGGGCTGCTGACCCCCAGCTCTCTAGTGTCCTGGGTTTGTCACAGGCGGGAGGCGGGAGTTGTGAGGATGCATTTCCAGCCTGTCAGTGCCTGAGTCCCGGGGCGGTGGGGGCAGGGGGGGGGAAGTGCTCAGGAGCAAGGAGGGTGATACCCAGAGACACTGGCTGATTGGTTGACGTTGCCAGAGCCACACAGCATCCTGGCATTCTGCTCGGCCTCTTCCGGAGGTTCTCCACAGGAGCCGGGCTGAGCGGAGAAGGCAGGGCCGGCCCTCCCCACTGCGAGAGGCAGACAGAGGCCGTTGTGTGTGATGAAACCCAACCCGGGCCCCCTCTGGCTGAGGTGAGGTCGTCGGAGGCGGGTGAGGGCTGGGGAGGGGGCAGCCTCCTGCCCCACCCCCACCACCACCCTGGGGACCTCACACAGGCTCCAGCCGCACATCTGGATCCCAGCTGGCCACCAGGACCCAGGACGAGGTCCGGGACAGGGGAGGGGACGCCGCAGAGGCCTCCGGCCCAGGCCACACACACACACACACACACACACACACACACACCACCACCACCACCACCACCACCAGGGCCTGGATCTGTTTAAGAACTTTTGATGGGTCCCTCCCCCAAGAACTCTCCCCACCAGCCCACCCCCCCACTGCAGCCTCGTCCCCGCCCCCCAGAAAACCAGTGCCACCCAAGCCAGATTCCGATTTTATTATGCTGGCGTGTTACATCTTTGCCCCTGTGGGATCTGTGTGAAGGTTGGGGAGGCTGGGAGGGGGTTCCTCGGAGACACCCCAGAGAGGACGGAGGCCAGGCTCCCTGTCGAAGAGCAGTGTGGCCTTCGGGCCATGTCGTTGTGAGTAGAGGATGCTGCCCCTCTCCCCCCGCAGCCCTGCAGGCCAGAGACCAGAATGGAGCGGGGACTAAGTGCGGCCCCCACTCAGCCGCTTGGGGAGGGGCGAAGCAGTCAATAAGAAAGGTTCAATTCATGCGTGTACCCCAATAGCTGTAGTGGGAGAAGAAACAGCCCTGAACCTCCGCACCCCCAGCCCCAGAGCAGCTGGACAGCTAGGAAGAGGCGCCTTCAGGAAAATGGGGAGCAATGTTTTTCAAACAGGGAGTTACGAGATTTGACTTTGTAGCTGTGAAAAAGAAAAGAAAAACAATTTGGGAAAGCGTTAGCTTAAACCCGACCCAACAGAAGCCCTTAAGAGGTGGTGTTGGGGGGCTGGGGTGAGGGTTTCTCAGGATGGGGGGATCTCGTCAGGTAGCGCCCCCTCTGCGCCTTTGATGTTTACATCTTGTTTCCCTTGCGGGGAGGGGTGGCCCTCGGAACCCCACGTGAGAACCCCTCAGGAAGGCCCTAAATCATGGTCTTTGCTGCCACCTCCCAGAACCTTCTGAGCCACAGGAAGATGCTGCAGGTTGGGGAGACACAGAGGAGGGTCCCTTTGGGTTCCCAAAGCCAAAGCTCCCAGCTGTCCATTTGCTCTGCCACGCATCCCGTGTGGCGGACGCTATGGGGTCTCCTGGGGACACCCCAACCCCCATGAGCACTGGTGGGGCAGGGGGCAGGACCTGAGACCCCCCCCAGGGGCATTCCAAGCTGCTGACATCTGGGGGGAGATTCCTGGGGTGCAGCAGAGTCCGGCAGCTCTGCCAGCTGGAGGACAGGGGCCCCGAAGAGGGCTAAGGAGGGGTGTCAGGAATGGCTGGAGTTGGAAGTCTTTCGCTCGAGGAGGGGAGCACAGCCGGGGGAGGGGAAGGAGAAGGTCCTCACGGTCAAGGCCAGCAGCTCCAGAACCTCTTAGCCACTGGGGGAGACAGTACTGCAGGCACATGGGCCTTCAGGGGGACTCGCTGGTCCCTGGGCTTCCTGGGCTGAGAAGGAGGTTTCTGGAGCCTCATGGCCCTCGCTGGCTGCCACAGCTCCCTCCGCTGAGTGCATCTCCTCTGGGACTTCTGGTTTCTCCCTGGAGGTCCCGGGGCCTGGGGCTTCCTGGGCCTCCTCCTGGCTGCCCTGGGCGCTGCCCCTCACCAGCCTGGCGCCCTCCCCGCTGGCAGGGGCAGCTCTGGCAGGTGATTTGAGGTTCTGGGTGGCGGCCAGGATGTCAGCCTGGAGCTGCAGGGAGGAATCGAAGCCCTCGTCGGGCCGGCTGTCGGGAGCTCTATCAGGGACCTCGCTGAAGGCTCGGGGACCCCCGGCGCGGTCACTCTGGTCCACGTACTTCTTCTTGGGGAAGGAGGACGGGTAGTAGGCCGTGGCCTTGTGCTTCTGGCGAGTGATGACGGCGGCGCAGACGATGAACATGAGCAGGAAGGCCAGGGAGCCCACCACGGCGATGAGCATGGCGTACTGGCGGAAGAAATCCACGAGCCCCTCCAGGAGGCTAGTGGGGGGGGCCGGGCCCCCCCGGAGCGTGGGCTGTGGTCCCACGGACGGTGTGGGGCCCAGGGCTGGGGTCCCCGGGGGCGGGAGGCTCGGGGAGGAGGCCGACGAGCCCTCGGCCTCCCCACTGCCTCCCGAGTCCTCCAGGAAGGCCGCGGGCAGGGACTCGGAGTGGGGGGCCGCAGGGCCTGGGCTCAGGAGCAGCAGCAGAGTGAGGAGGAGGCTGGGGACCATGATGATCCCCCCCGCCAGAACCTGCAAGGAGACAAGGGAGGGAGAAGTCAGGACCCAGAAACATGGCCCCCCAGGAACAGATTATACCCCAGAAGTGTCTTCCCTTCTGCAGTTGAACCCCCACAGCACAGTGGGTCTCATTTATTCATACGGAGGACGCCCCTGATCCCCGCCTCCCTCGGAGGTCCTGAGCAACGGCGCTCCAGGAACATCTCCTCCGTCGTGGGGCTTTGTGGGAAGGCTGGTATACAGTAGGTGCTCAATCATTGCAGGCGGCCTGAATCAGTGAAGCACAGGCACACTTTCACCGTTTGGCATGTTCTGATGCATTGAGGGGGGGGTTGTTTGGTTTGGTTTGGTTAGTCATGGGGCTTGAACTCTGGGCCTGGACGCGGTCCCTGAGCTCTTCAGCTCAAGGCTAGCTCTCGGTTTATTGGAGATAAGAGTCTCACGGACTTTCCTGCCTGGGCTGGCTTTGAACTGCGATCCTCAGATCTCAGCCTCCTGAGTAGCTAGGATGACAGGCATGATGCACCAGTGCCCGGCTGGGTTTGTTTTGTTTTAACCAAGGATTTCTCACTGAATCCTGAGAACGTCTTAATAAGGAGATACTACATTACCCCATTCTCCAGGTGGGTACACTGAGGCTGGGAGGGCCAGAAAGGTCCTACATCTCTGAGCCCTGCAGGAAGTGTGGAAGCCAGAGTTCCCCCCCACCCCCATGGCTGACCATACCTGGCCCTGAGGCCCCAAGCAAGGCTGAGGGGGGGCCCTGGGAGACCCCCTCATGTCCAAGGCAAAGTGGGAGCTGCCCTGATGGGCTGGGACCCCCAGAAAGCCCAGCTGATAAACAAACTGCACACGCCCCAGGGCATGGCCGAGTGTGGGATTAAAACTCTAGCTGTCCGCTGCAGGAGAGTGGGCGGCTGGGGCCTGCGGGAGGCCCGGGGCCCTGAAGCTGGCCGGCCTGAAGCTCTGGCTCACAGACGCTTCCCAGCCCTCTCTTAGGTCCTGGCTTCAAAGCTCAGATGGGAGACACAGAGAATGGAGACACAGAGCCGGAGCAAGGCCAAACAGCAAGCTCCCAGGGCCTTGACCGGGCCACCTGCCCAGCCTCAAGGCCTCGGGCCCTGCTTCGGGCCAGGCCGCATTGTCTGGGGGCTCAGGAGGTAAGGGAGTAAACCCGGAGCGGGTGGCTCACGCCAGTCATCTTAGCTACTCGGGAGGCTGAGATCTGAGGAGAGAGAGAGACAGAGAAAGAGAGACAGAAAGAGAGACAGAGTGGGGGGAGAGGAGGGGTGCTGGTGGCTCACACCTGCAATCGTAGCTACTCAGGAGGCTGAGATCTGAGGATTGTGGTTCGTTGCCAACCTGGGCAGGAAAGTCCCTGTGAGAATTTTACCTCCAATTATCCACACACACACACACACACACACACAAAACACTAGTGGCACTGTGGCTCAAAGTGGTAGAGCACTAGCCTTGAGTGAAAGAGCTCAGGGACAGTGCTTAGGACCTGAGTTCAAGCCCTACAATCAACAAGAAAGGAAGAAAGACAGAAAGATGGAAGGAAGGAGGGAAGGAAGGAAGGAAGGAGAAAAAGAAGGAAGGAAGGAAGGAGGAAAGGAAGGAAGGAAGGAGAAAAGGAAGGAAGGAAGGAAGGAAGGAGGAAAGGAAGGAAGGAAGGAGAAAAGGAAGGGGGAGGGAGGGAAGAGAATGAGAGAAGAAGAGAGAAGAGAAGAGAAGAGGAGAGAAGGAGGTGAAGTAACAGGACCCGTTCTAGGTGACCTGGGGCCTTCGCCTGCAAATGACCGCCACACTGTACTTGTTCTGGCCACTTGGTTGCTCTGAATTCTTTGAGTATTTCCTGTCTGTCTGCAGCAGGCCGGGCCGTGTGGCGGTCGGCCTGAGACGCAGGGCTGGCCCTGGTGAAGGGGCGTTTGGCCCAACTTGCTCTGATGGCGGATGGCACAGACGCACGCGGGGGCCGTGAGGAGGTGGAGGACGGGGGGCTCCGTGGATCCCGTGTCTCCTTCCCCCTCCCTGTCTCAGTGCAACAAGGAGAGGAGGTGTTCAGTGAGGGGCTCCCCACTCCTGGGCTGGGGTCTGCGACCTGCAGGCCTTCCCTCCCTCCTCCTTCCCCACCCTACCACCTCCTCCTCAGGTCAAGACAGGGGACTCAACTCTATCGAAGGTCTGGGCCACCACTGGGCCAAACATGGCGGCCGGGCAGCCACCTGGGCGTGAGCAAAGGGGCTGGCCTCCCGGCTCCACCACGGCTCATTCTGCCAGCTGACTCTTCCAGGCCTCAGTTTCCCCATCTGCCATGGGTCGCAGTAGGGGGTGGCCACTTCATGTTGTTAAGACCTTGTGAGGGTGGGGCTGGGAAGGTGGCTCAGTGGTAGAGCGCTGGCCTTGCATGCCTGAGGCCCTGGGTTCGATTCCTCAGCACCACATAAGCAAAAAAGAAAAAAGCCGGAAGTGGTGCTGTGGCTCAAGTGGTAGAGCTCTAGCCTTGAGCTGAAGAGCTGAGGGACAGCGCCCAGACCCAGAGTTCAGGCCCCACAACCGACCCAAAAAAAAAAAAAAAGACCTTGTGAGGGGACACTGGGAAAGTGCTCACCCAGGAAAGGTGGAGTTCAGGAACAGAAAGCTCCAGGACTAGCCGGCTCCCTCCAGCCCCCCAAATAACTGTGTGAAATGAGTGCGCATTTCCTCAGGCCTCCTCACCCCCAGGAGAAGACCAACTTTGTACCCTTACCTCCAGCCATGGCGGAATGCAAGACCAAAGTTACACACACACACACACACACACACACACACACACACACACAGCAGCAGCAGCAATGAACCAGAGAAAGGACTTACGTGGAGCCACCCTAGCTCTTAGAGGTTGATACCCCAACTCTGAGAGTCCCCCAGCCCCTCCTGCTCCCCTGAGGGAGATGGCAGCCCGTGGGAAGGCACCGTCCGGCGTGGACCCCGCCAGGCCTCGCGGGAGGTGGCTGTGTGGCTCTGGACAGGCCCCCAGCCCTCTCTGGGCCTTGGTTTCTCTTCTGCAGCGGTGACAGCGTGGCCCGCACAAGTCCAGCTCCCCCCCTCCCCCCCTGCCCTTCTCACGGAGGAGCTGGGACTCGAACCTCGGGCTGCAGGCCAGGGGGTTGGGCTCAGGCCTAATCCTTCTATTCTCCCTCGAAAGGAAACTGGAGCCCAGAGACAGCACGGCCTGCCCAGGGAGGCTCAGCGCAGCCCTGGGCCTGGAGGCAGCTGGGAAGAGCCACGAGGCACTTCCCAGCTGTGGGTGGTGCCCCGCAGTGGTGGGGCTCAGCCAGGGGACCCCCCCCCACTCCGAGGCCTTCTCCCTCTGCGGCGGCTCTTTTAGCATGAGATGACCCTACTTGGGGGTCACAACTCTGCCAAGGCCTGGGTACCCCCCAAACTTGAGATGGAGGGGCTAGAACAGCTGCCCCACCCCCACCCAGAGACGGTGGCGGGAGGGGGAGGGGTGACCCACGGAAAGCTGGCTTCAATTAGTGGGCTGGGGGGAGGGGGCTGGAGCGCACCAGGCTGGGGACCCCTGTGAGGGGAGAGCGGGAGGGGAGATGCTGGGGCCCAAAGCCACAGGCGTGCACACACACACACACACACACAGCCGTCAGTACAGGGGTGCACAAGCCAGCACAGCAATAGTCCCCCACAATCCCGACACACAACTAAGATCCCACCAACTCATCCCCCCCAAACCGTCCCCCATATCCCCCCACCCCCCGTCCCAGCTCCCAGCACTGACACAGGAGCCAGGCGGCCTGGGACAGTGCGGTCCACCAACCCTCCCCACACCCCTACCTGCACCCCGCAGCCCCCTCTCAGGTCCCCCCCACACCAGGGGGCTCCCCAAAGTTCACTGGCCACCGGCCACGTGGATCCCCTCCACCAGTGCACGCAGCCCGGCCCGGCTGGGGCCTGGGGACTCACCGCTTCCCGCGGCCGGCGCTGCCCCGGGGCGCCCTGCAGCCCGGCAGCCCGGCAGCCCTGCACGGAGGCGCCCGCCCTGCCCTGCCCGCTGCTCTGCCTGGCGCCCGCCTCGGCCTCCACCTCCGCCTCAGCCTCGTCTCCTCCTCCGCCCCACTGGGCTGCGGGGGCCAGCTTGATTTCATTAAGGGGTTTTGGGGTGGGGACAGGAGGAGGGCGGAGCTGGCGGGGCCACACACCATCCCAGCCCCCTCCGCTCCAGCCACGGTCTCTGGGGAAGGACTAGGGCTTCCTCCCCTGACCTCAAGTCCCCAGGGCAGGCGCAGACAGACAGACAGACAGAGGGATGCAAGCCGGGGTCCCACCACACCCCCCCCCACCAGGCTCCAAAGGAGACATTCCAGGCCCCTGGAAGTGTGAGAAGGGAAATTCCTCTTTGGGGTTCCAGCTGTGACTCAGGTTTTCCAGGCTGGGGTGCAGAATGGAGCTGGGGGGGGGCCGGGCTGGGCTGGGGAGGGGAGGCCTGGATGGAAAGTGGAAGCCTGAGGCAAGGCGTGGCGTCCCGACACCTGCTCTGATCCAGGCCCTTCGTCTCTCCGGGCCTCAGTTTCCCCGTTCCTAAGGATGAGAAGGAAGCTGGCTGAGCTGCCCTGGCTCTGACATTCTGGGTTCTTCGATCTGAACGTGATGGGAGTTATAGACCCACATCACAGACGGGGAGGGGAGGCCCGGACCTCACCGGGCGAGGCCCTCATCCGGGTCCTCAGGTGAGCTGCTGCTGCAGGCCCTGGGCCCGAGGGCCCCCCGTTTGCTTCCTCCCGCAGCGGCTCAGGGCGTCTGTGACTGAACCAGCGATGAGGAGAGCTGGAAGGCCTACTCCCCAGAGGCCGAGACCCTGAGCACTGTGGCATGAAGCCAGCCCAGGCAGAAAAGTCTGCAACCAGCCAAAAGCCACACTGGAGGCGTGGCTCCAGCGGGACAGCACCAGCCACAGAAGCAAGTTGAGCGAGCGCAAGGCTCTGAGTTGA